CTTGAAAGCTTCCACGGCTTCTGATGGAAAGCGGTTCCATCGGTTAATTGCTCTCACTGTCAGAAAATTTCTCCTTAATTTACCTGTCAGTTTTAGGTGTTTTCCTCAGTGCTGATTCCTGCCATCCACCCGCCAGGGCTAAGCCAGGATGCCAGTAAGGCAGAGAGGCTTAATAGCCCTGTAATAGTGGGTTAATCCAGGGTTTCTCAATCTTGGCAATTTTGTAAGATGTGTGGACTTCCAAATTCCTAGAATTCCTCAGTCAACATGCTGAGTAAAAACTATGGGGCTATCACATGTTCCTAGATGCAGCATAAGCATGTTTTGCATCTTTTAAAAAGATTTAAAATCTTATGTCCACGGCATGCGCTCTTAAGGCAATGCTTTATCCCCTTTTCCTAACTCTGCTTGTGCCCTGGATGCAAATTAGGATGATTTTCGAGTGATGAAGATGCAACCAGATGTTGGAGCCTGTGCAGATCCCATTGGCTGTTGCAGAAGATGCTTCCCCAAGAAAGGCTGCCTATGCCCAATTTTGCTTTAGGTTGCAGTAGAGGCTGGATCCCGGGCATGCCCAGAGGCATCCCCCTGAATAATGTAGGATTGCAGCTTTCCAAAGTGTTCATGAGGCCTTCTGTTAGACTCTTGGAAATAGGCAATCCATACAAACTATTGCAAACATAGACAATTGGGTGCCCTTTTTTATTTATTTATTTCTTTGTTTGTTTAATTTAGTCAAGCATGTGTTAGATAACAGGTATAACTATAAACATGATTATTAATACATGAAATGGATACGAATAAAAGGGAACATCAGGACAGGGACGGTAGGCATGCTGGTGCGCTTATGCACACCCCTTACAAGCCTCCTAGGAAAGGGGTGAGGTCAACAGTAGACAGTCTAAGGTTAGAGTTTTGGAGTTTGGAGAAGAAACCACAGAGTCAGGTCGTGTATTCCAAGCATTGACCACTCTGTTGCTGAAGTCGTATTTCCTGCAATCGACTTTGGTGCGGTTTACCTTAAGTTTGTATCTATTGTGTGCTCGTGTATTGTTGTGGTTGTTTTGAAAAAGCGCAAGATTTTTAAAACAAAAAGGCTCTAAAGAGTTTTCTCTAATCTGGAAAATGGGAAGATATCTAAATGCACTTTTCAAAGCATCTACTTTCTATGGACATCTGCTGGGCAGGGAAAAAAAAGATTATGTTATGGAAAGTATAACTTGCAATCAAGGCTCCATACTTTGTTCATGTTTCACAGACAAAGGGGTGGAATTTCTGTTATACCTGCCATCTTGGCTTCTGTGCTGAGCCCTGCACAGCCCCTGGATCCTACATTTAAATGGGGTGATTGAAAACAGGAGGGGAAATGAAACCAGGGGGTATTTATTTATTTATTTGTATGGCTGCCCATCTCAGCAAGTGACACTGGATGCAAAAATAAATATGAGTATCTTGGCAACGTTTTGGCAAGGTCCCACTCGCCATCCTCAGGCTGGTGCTTTCGGCTTCGTGCCAGTGCAAGCAGTGAGATACTCTTAATCTTACACGGGAAAAGACCTGAACACACCTAGACCTACATACATACACATGCATACACACACACACACATATATATATTTAATAGTATTGATATTAATTAATAGTAACTAAGGGACTATTATGGCTATATTGTTATAAATTTTTATAATAGGTTAAAGGGAGAAAATGAGGGAAATGAATAAGTAAAGGGGTGGCAAGCTCGAATTGATAATAAAAGGGGAAAAACCTTTGAATGGAATAATTATATGTGGAAAAAACTGCAAATGTGACGGATGTAAGAAAATGTGTGTAATTATTATAGAAATTGAATGTGGAGAATATTGTTAAATAAGACAGGAGAATATTTAAAGACAAATGAAATAAGCTGTAATATGATGAGATTGTATAAAATAAGAGTAATGAATATAGAAAGTGAATAAGAATATGAATAATACTGTTAAATAGTGTATGAGATTATTTAAAGAAAAATGTAATAAGTAATCATATGATATGGATGTGAAAGCTGGTATGTAATTATGGTCACATTTGTATTAAAATGTGAAAACCTGCAACCACATTGTTCACCTAATGAGATGTTTTTAAAAGATAAAAAATTCATTCAAAAAAAAAAAAGAGAGCAGCGCATAGAAGCTACTTCAAAGACGAGGTACCCTCTATGCTTTTCAGTTTCTTGTTTCCTCAACCCCATCACGTTAGCATCATTGCTTGTCAGCTGTAAGAAAGCATGGAATTCTACCCTGTTTCTCCAACAATACGGCCTCCCCCGATAGGAAGTCCCAGCATGTTTTATAGGCATGAAATGGAATTAAGCCCCTCCCCCCAAATTAAGGCCTATATTAAAACATGCAAAATGGGGGGCAATGGTGGGGGGGGCTTTCCGTTAGGAAGTACTTTTGTTGCACACCCGGATATGGTGCTGCCTGCGTTGACCCTGATACGAAGTGCCCCACCAACGCCGAGGTCAACATCCAAGCCGTCGCCGCCCGCCTGCCCGAAGATGCAAGGGGGGGAGGGAATTAAGTCACCCCCCAAAAGACGGCCTAGCCATTTTTTCGGGGCTCAAAAACAAAAAAAAAGACCCGGCCTTATTATATGAGAAACAAAGTAGTTCAAAATATCGAAAGACAACTAACTGCATTGCACAGGGATCTGCAGGTGGGGATCAAATGATTAAGGCAATATTGCACTGTCAGACCCTTTTGTGAGTATCACGACATTTTGTGCATGTAGGAAAGAGGTAAGGTTGTTGAAAATGGTGCAACACCGCTTTTGTCATTTTCATAGAATTGGACCCTGTGCACACTGCTGCTGCTTGCTTAGTTCTGCATTAGAAAAATCAATTCCCAGTATTCTGCCCCTTAGCCAGCCTTTATCTTTCTTCAGTAACAATATTTTTCTTTTCTTTTTTTTTTATCTTCCCTGCATTTTAACAGAGACACTGCTATCAAAGCAGGTAAGAATTGACATTGGCTGTTATGCAAATGACTAAGAGGAGCTGCAAAAGACAATCGAATTTGGTGATAGCTTAAGAGCGTCCTGAGCTTTCTTTATTTTTGCTGCAAGTTTAATCCACTTCATCTCTGAGATCTAAATAGAAATAACCTCTCACTAATTGTAATCTAAATTATAGCATGTCTATTGTTTATTTAGAATACCCATATTAGTGATGGCAAGCACAATCCAACCGTCAGCAGGGTTATATAAAGCCTATTCACATTTGTGGTATCATCATACTATAGTCAGCGATATAGATGGTCTCTGTATTTTATTGTGTTTTACAACAATATGACTGTGACTCAATTCTGAAATATGCCTAAAGGATAATAATCTCCAAAAAGTTGGTCCATTGAAAAGGGTTGTTAATTTTCACACTGAGCTGCAGAATTCCAGATTACTAGCAACCTTGTTCCTACAGATACCTCTATTCTATTAAATACCAGCAAAGGAAAAAGTTGCTGTGGGGGCCTAAGAACAACTCTACCCATAATTATGCAGTTGTAGAAACATGGGATTTGTGGAAGATACACTCTCAAATTCAGAATAGCCATTTTAATGTTTTGTGGGATGCCAAAATCATTAAAGCCAACTCTAAAAGGTGGTTTTAGGGGGGAAATGTGATTCCATGCAGAATCATGTTGCTTCCAAAACTTCTTATGTAACAGCAAATCTGTCCAAAGGGACTTTTAAGTGCTGCAACGCAAAAGCTGAACAACCTTGACTTGTAATGACTTATGGTATCACTCTCTCATTCAGTGAAAAACTGGAAAAATGTATTGGTTTTATATAACAGTTATTTCCACACTCCCTTATTTTGTTACACAGTTTTTTACCATTATTTTACAATGTACACAACCAACATTTCTATAAGTTTCCTTTTATGCTGGATATATGGGATATATCTAACAATACTGAAACAGCTAGCGATGAATGAGGAATTCAGGATAAAGACTACTACCCATGATATCTATTCATACATGCTGTAGAATTCTGGGATATACATCAACAAATAGCCAATACATTTTTTTTTAAATAAAACACAATTTATTGGTAAAGATGAGATACCTGCATACAGGTAATTTTTATTTATTTTTGGCAAGTGGAAATACATACAGCACAACGTGCCTCAAGTTCATCGTTAAGCATGAATCCATTCAAGTTAAGGCTTGTGTTTGCCATGTATTTTTTTAAAATCTTATGTAATAATTATCCAATTACAAATACTTCCAAGTAAACATTTAATTTACCAGATGAGGAAAACACAGAATAAAAATCCCATCCATGTTTATTGTGAATTAATTCCCACTAAACTTAATGGGAGTTATTTTCCAGTAAGTAGAGAACTGTGCTTGAAAATTGAAAATATTATATAACCTGTTCAATGAACTAAGGTGTAAATGGTAATACTCTATAGTTCCTCCCTTCAGCTTTCTAATTCCTCAAAAGGTAGAATAATTTTCACAGAATTTCCTTGTAAACATTTGATTCGACTTAAGTGTTAAAAGTTAAAGGAAACTGTTAAGAATTAATATAATCCCTGTAGTTTATTAAACACTGCTTGTACATGATACCTTTAAGTGTAATTTTTTTCTAGCCATGATCAAAAAAAGCAGTATGAAGAATAGTGACACAATCTTTGCACGCATGTTGATTTGTATCTTAAAAAAAAATCCCCCATCATTTCATCAATCAGACTCTATGCCTGTTCTGACAGATTTATTATGAGGGGGACTATATATCGTTAAGGCTGTTTCTCTCTCCCCCTTCCTCCCCACAATTGTACAATTACTTTGATTCTTGAATTCAGATCTCATATTATGGATCCATATTCTTCAACCTTGTTGGTTGGGAATGTTGGGAGTGGAAATCTCACGATCGATTACAAGTGATTGGCACAATCCCCAAACAAATTGATTCTAATGCAATTCAGTAGCAAGATCAGGTTGTTGTTTCTGCCAGTATAATAGCAGTGCACAGTGTCATTTATATAAAAAAAACAAATTAAACTTCAGTTAGCGGTATTTGTTCCCCTTGCGGCTGGGGAATACAGCCCATTGGACTTTGGTTGGTATACCAATATTCCTATTGAATTAAAAAAAAAATGCCTTGAAGTCCCAAGACAATTTTTTGGGTCTGACCTATGATGACATTTGTCTACTGCAAGATCAGCAGTAAGAAAACGAAGGCCATTGCCTCCCAGGCAAGCATTAAGCAAAGACCTGGCCCTTATAGCCAATCGTACTTAAATCCAAGTTTTTCAATGGGACTTAAGCACTCCTCTCTGTTCCAGATTATGCTAAGAAAACAGACAGGAGCTTAGGAACCTTTCAAAAAAGCAGGTTTCCAACAGCCCTCAGTTGAAGGTTTTGATTCTCATGTTTGCTGTGTTAAATATGCAGTCAGAACACAGTTGTTACAGGTAGTCCTTGTTTAGTGACCACAATTGGGACCAACAACTTGGTTGTTAAGGAAAGCAAGTTGCTAAATGAAACCACAACTGTGCTTATGTTCTTACGTCAGCTCTTCTTTACTTTACCGTCATAAATGCAAGAGTATGGACTTTTTGCATCACCATCGTCATTATCACTAAGCAAGACAATCACTAAATGAGATCCACTTGTAATTTCAATCACTAATTGTGCACTTTTATCCATCTTCCCAAAAGGTGAGGAGAGAAGAAACTAAAGGTTTGGGGTTTTGTTTTTTTTCCCCCCAAATTCACACAAGATGTAATCCTAACAATATGTTTTCAGTGGGCTAAATGTTATGATCATTATGATCTGTAGAGAGGACGGAAATACACAATCCTAATTCTAATGGTATTTAAATATACATGATAGGTTTTTTTTAAATGTGATGTTAAAAAGTTCAATTAGTTGAAAAGTACCCATAATGTAATGTTAGCAAAATCCAGACAATTTAAAAACACTAATATTTGTTAAAATAACATTCCATTTAGTCTTTTAATCGGTATTTTATTACATTCACATGGAATTGTGATAATAGCTCGCACGGTATTCAAGAAATGAAGGATAAATTCTACATAAAGAGCTGTTCCAGATTTTTTTCCCAAAAAGGAGGAATGAAAGGAATGAAAAAGTCTACAGTATAAATGTATAATTTTCTCAGTAATTTTGAAACACTGATATTCACACCAACAGGAACTGAGAGTCCTATAAACATAGGTTTTCTAACAAAAAAAAACTGAAATAAAGGGATGAGGGAACAGATAGGCTACAGCTAAACTTTTCATTTAAGGAAAAAGGAAAAAAAAGATCGTTATAGAGGCCTAAAAGCAAAATCATGATCCAACCAAGTTTCTGCACTCCTGAACGGGAATTGGAATTTTAAAGTGCTTAATTTTGGCTGAATCACGTCTGCTTAGTAATGCTAAAGGCAACTTTTAAAGTAAGTAAGGCTTTCAAAAGGTAACAATTTTATCAACAATAGCCAGCATATTTTGTGATATACCAAAAGTTTATTCAGGTTTTGTTTTTGGTTTTTTTGTCCTTTAAAAAAGCCACTATGTATAAAAGATTTCCAGTAAGAAGGGATCCTTCTAAAGATTTAATTGCTGGGCTCTGGGAAGTGTAACTCAATATTACTGATAACGAAAACGCACACATCGCATGGGCCACTGTGCTTTCTAATTAGAACGCAATCCACATAATTGTTTTTCTGCTCTTTTGACAGAAAATCAAGAGTCGCATCAAACTCAGCATTTCTCCTGTGCAAGCTACAGTGATGAGAAGAACTGCATGGGTTCTTTGCAAAAGTTTCATTCATTTTTAGGGTGCTTGTTGGAAGTTACCAGTGGATCATACTGGGCTTTTATTATATTATTTCATCATTATAAATATGCTACATACACATATTAATATAATATATGTGTACATATTCTAGGTACCTTATATTGGCATATACGTTTATGCCACACATTTCATTAGATTGATAGGAAACACTTAATTGTATAGATGGGAGCTGGTGTAGCACTTAATGCCAATCCAATGCTTATCTGGTAACCTGGCATCACAACAGACTTTAGGACAAAAACTTTCTTGCCTTGTTTTCCAGTTTCTTTGTGCAATCCATTTTGTCCCAACCAGATGCAGAGTCTCCCAAATCAATGCTGAGATTTTACGCCTATCAGTTTCTGAAGATACTTCTGTGCAATGGGCACAGAAAGGATAAACCGAACTGTCCTGTGTCCCATCCGATAGCAGCCGTAGCCCACCAGTCCAAATATTGTAGCCTTTATAACAAACTTTAGGATTTTACTGGACGTGGATGGAGGAGGCACACTAAAACAAAGAGACAGGGAGAAAACAAAGTTACTATCCAAATAGGTTATCAGAAAAAGGACCGATTGTTATTTGCATCAAATAGTATCATAGCTTCCATTAATTTCATAGGCTTTCGTATATTGAATCCTCTGTGTTGGTGGTTCTCAACCTTTTCTTCACCGCGGACTCCCTTTAAATACCTTTTGTGGCCACAGACCATGGCCAGGGACTCCCAGGACTTAATTCAAGATTAAATCATAATATTTTGTTGTGGCCTGTTGGCAGCCGGCCCCTCCAGCAGCCAAATCAGATGAGGAGGCTGTGTGGAGTCAGGACCAACTTGAGAGTCTGAGGGGGAAGAGGGAATACAGCTGTCAGAGATCGAGACAGGCGGAGTGTGTAGAATCAACAGCCCCCAGGTTTGGAGGTAGTTGATGAAGATGATGATGATGAGGTCAAGTGCCTGACGCACAGCTCCGCAAAAGGCAGAGGAGAGGAGAGCAGTGGAAAGCACTGGGCTGATCCTTGGGACGGAAGAGCTACTGCTGCTAGTGAAGCTCTATTTTCCTACTTAGGCAGGAAACCCTACACCACTTCAGATAAATGCTTGTCCGATCTCTTCTTAAAAACCTCCAGTGTGGGACAATTCACAACTTCTGGAGACAAGCTGTTCCACTGATTAATTGTCCTAACTATCAGGGAAATGTCTCCTTAGTTCTAGGTTGCTTCTCTCCTTAGTGATAACAGTGCCAAGATTGACACAGGTCATCAAAAGTATTCTGACGTTTCAGCTGGTGCAGAGCGCAGTGGTGCTTATGTGTGCTCTTAGGAGGGTCATATTACACCTCTGCTCTACAACTGGCTCCCAGTTTCAAGGTGTTGGTTTTCACCTTTAAATCCCTGCACGCCATACGGCTGGGGCATTTGAGGGACTGCGTCTCCTCAGTTAGATCAGCCTGGCCCATTAGATCTGGCAGAGAGAGGATGCTACAGAGAACATCTGCCAGGGATCAACATATGGCAGGTCCCAGGAGGTAAGCTTTCTCTGCTGTGCCATGATTCGCCTTATTGAACATTACCTCCACCCAACTGTCAGGCTCCATCTTTGTAGTGTTACGGAAGTCCATAAAGAGTCAGTTATGCCATCAGGTTTCTTTCTTTCTTTCTTTCTTTCTTTCTTTCTTTCTTTCTTTCTTT